AGCTCTACTATCTTCACGGCATACTTACACTGGTGTCTTCCATTGACCTCGTCTTTTAAAAAAAACCCAACAAAATATTCTTAAAAACCCAACTATCACAAGTGTAAGTGACAAGCCATACTAGCCCCTGGGCATACTTACTGTTGTCGTCCATTAACCTCGTCCGGCTTGCCGTAGTTCACGTCATCTGGGGGCAGAGGTCAACAGGTCATTAATGTATATATGTAATGTAGACCATATATATCTATCTATATATTATATCTATCTATATCCCTATATATATCTATCTGTCTATCTATCTATCTATCTATATCGATTTATCTATCTTTAGATTTAGTAAGTTAAAAAAAAAAGTTTTTATTAAAAGTTTTACGGCACTTGCAACACAATACGGTCATATGAGCGCCAGAAGATTAAATTAGAGGAGTTACAAGAGAGTAGCAAACACAAAAAAGAAGGAGGAGAGATCAGGATGATAGATGTTTGACAGGAAAGAAGGAGCAAGCCACACCAGAGCACTCGCCAACCACCCACTTAGTAAGAGTTTTAAGGCATTCGCAACACAATAAGGTCATAAAAGAGCCCCCAAAAATAGAGCTGTTACAAGAGAGTAACAATCATGAAAAAGAAGGAGGAGAGATAAAGACGATAGATGTTTGATTGGAAAGAAGGAGGAGAGATCTGTTTAGTTTTAGTAAGAGTTTTAAAACACAATAATGTCATATAACCGCCGAAAAGATTAGAGGTGTTACAAGAGAGTAACAAACACACAAAAAAGAAGGAGGGGAGATATAGAAGATAGATGTTTGATAGGAAAGAAGGAGGAGAGATCAGGACGATAGAAAGTTTGACAGAAAAGAAGGAGGAGAGATAAAGACGATAGATGTTTGATACGAAAGAAGGAGGAGATATCTGTTTAGTTTTAGTAAGAGTTTTACGGCACTTGCAACACAATAAGGTCATATAACCGCCGAAAAGATTAGAAGTGTTACAAGAGAGTAACAAACACACAAAAAAGAAAGAGGAGAGATCAGGAAGATAGATGTTTGACAGGAAAGGAGGAGAGATCAGTTTAGTTTTAGTAAGATGTTACGGCACTTGCAACACAACAAGGTCATACCATAAGTGCCGAAGATTAAAGGTGTTACAAGAGAGTAACAAACAAACAAAAAGAAAAGGAGGAGGAGGAGAGATCAGGAGGACAGAAGTTCGGTAGTACCGACTGGGTGTGTCTACGTCTGCACTCACTGTATTTCTTGTCCTTGGTACACCGTCCCTTCCTGCGGCTGTGGAAGATGGCGACGAGAGCCAGCAGCACAGAGACCAGCAGAAACAGGACCCCGCCCACAATACCGCCCACCAGGGCCTCGGGCAGGATAGGGCCGTCTGTGGACACGACACATGGACAACGGCACTGTTGTTACTTGTCGGTTGTAAAAAATAGTTTTAAAAAGAGTTTTGCGGCACTTGCAACACAATACGGTCATATTAGTGCCGAAGATTAGAGGTGATTGTTTAAAGTAAAGTTTTAGTAAGAGTTTTACAGCCTTGCAACACAATAAGGTCATATAAGGTCATTTTGTGTTGCAAGTGCCGTAAAACTCTTAGGTTTACAGGGCTTTTTGGGTTTGTTTTTAGTTTAGTTTGCAACACAATTGGGTCACATAGGTGCCAAAGATTAGAGGTGGTTGTTTTTTGTTTCGTTTTTAAAAGTTTTAGTAAGAGTTTTACAGCATTAACAAAACACAATAAGGCCATATAAGTGCCGAATATTAGAGGTGTTACAATAGAGTAACAAACACAAAAAAGAAGGAGGGTAGAAAAAGACGATAGATGTGTTTGTTTGAGTAGATGTTTTACGGCACTTGCAACACAATTAGGTCATATAACAAGTGCTGAAGATAAGACGTGTTTGTTTGAGTAGATGTTTTACGGCACTATGATGATTAGAGTTGTTACTAGACAGTAACATACAAACACGGTTACAAAGTGTTTATAGAGCAGAACTTAGAGGAATGTACCAAGGCCACAACAGACGCGCAGCAGCGCCGTTACTTTGTGTATTTAAAAAAACAAACGTTTTTAGTTTAGTTTTGATAAGATTTTACGGCACTTGGAACACAATTAGGTCATATAAGTGCCGAAGATTAGAGGAGTTACAGTATTCCGGTAGAAAGACGGAAATACTGGCCGGAAAAGTCTTCTCATGAGAGAATGGAACTGATATCTTTTGTGAATTTTGAAAGACCTTTCATGAAGATATCAACCTAATGTCGTTTGTAAATTCTGAAAGATATCACATGTGGGAATTGAACTGATATCTTTTGTGACTTCCGAAAGACATTTCGTGAAGGTATCGACCTCTCATGTCGTTTGTAAAATAGCATTCATGAATATCAATCAAAGCAAATGTAATTACCAAAAATAAACCACAGAGAGTATAACACACACAGAGAAGTCAAGACCGCATCCAGTCAATGAAACTGTCCACACAATGAAAACCCAAAATGAATTAAACCAAATAAGAAACCTTGGAAGGATTAAAGATAAAATAGATCTAACAAACATGAACGGGTCATTCCATGAAAAAAGAAACACAGAGAGTATAACACACACAGAAGTTAAGGCCATATCCAGTCAATGAAATTGTTCACACAATAAAAACCCAATATGTATGAAAGAATCCAAATGAAGAAACCTTGGAAGAAGGATTAAAGATGTAATAGATCTCACAAACCTGAACAGGTCTTTTTTATTAAACAAAGTAAGAGTTTTACGGCACTGGCAACACAATAAGGTCATAGAAGTGCCGAAGATTAGAGGTGTTACAAGAGAGTAACAAACACAAAAAAGAAGGAGGAGAGATCAGGACGATAGATCTTTGATATGAAATCTTGGAAGAAGGATTAAAGATAAAATTAGATCTAACAAACCTAAACAGGTCATTCCAAGAAAAATGAAACTGAAGTGACACACAAAACACATTAATGATGACCTGATGGAAAAATTCTTTGCATTGATAGAGCTGGGGACTTCAAAATTTATTATATTTTATTTTCGTTTGTTTGTTTATTCGATTTTTTCTTTTGCTTGAGAAAGGGTGCTTCTAACAACATAACACAAAGAATGGCTCTACCAATGCTTAGATTTTTTGATTTTTTTTGCAGCAGGTCAACATCTCTTCTGCAGTACATTAACCACTGCTTTGTTTCTTGTTTCAGTAAGCGTTTTACGGCTCTTACAACACAATAAGGTCATATAAGTGCCGAAGACTTGAGACGTTACAAGGGAGTAACAAACACAAACAAAAAGGGAGGAGGAAAGATAAAGACGATAGATGTTTGACAGGAAAGAAGGAGCAAACCACACCAGAGCACCCGCCATACACCCACTTATTCACTGCAGTTTCCTTTTTCATGGAATGGCCAAAATCGGCTTGAAATAAATGAGTTTTTTTCCCAGCAGTCATATATAATAAATATACATAAATATACATATATATACACATATATATAAAGTAAAAAGTAGGAAAACTACAGGAAACTGCCAAAACAAAATAACACTGACACCAAAGCTTGAGAATGCAACAACACCTCGACCAGCACGGAACTGGATGACGTAAGAACCACCCAAAGAGTCAAACAAACGCAGAGAAGGGGAAAAAGCCGCAAACCCAAAAGGACATTGATGGGTATCAAAGTTCACCAATGTTTCCTGCACACGGTTACAAAAAACACATGCAAAAGAATAATTCCTACAACAAGCAACACTAGACAAGAAAAAACCCAACACCCAAACATAATATTTATACCCTAGACAAATAAACAAACAAAGTTACACTTAAGATAAAAAACAAACAAACAAACAAGATCTACGCCCTACACAAACAAACAAACGGATAAACATTTCAACTCCATACAAAAACAAAACATACTAGAAAAACAAACAATATTTATACATGAAACAAATAAAGAGCAGCTTTCAGACAATGAACAAACAACTTTCAGACCAATAACTTTCAGACAGACAACTTTCAGACAGACAACTTTCAGACAGACAACTTTCAGACCGACAACTTTCAGACCAACAACTTTCAGACCGACAACTTTACCGACAACTTTCAGACCAACAACTTTCAGACCGACAACTTTACCGACAACTTTCAGACCAACAACTTTCAGACCGACAACTTTACCGACAACTTTCAGACCAACAACTTTCAGACCGACAACTTTACCGACAACTTTCAGACCAACAACTTTCAGAGAGACAACTTTCAGACCGACAACTTTCAGACCGACAACTTTACCGACAACTTTCAGACCGACAACTTTCAGACATATGTCTTAGGTTTACCATAACCACAACTGCTAGAACGTATCCCTTTTGATCCACCCCCCCCCCACACACACACAAAATACAAGCAAAGAAAATGAATGAAAAATAAACAGCAATAGGCAGATGATGAAGAAAAACAACATATGTCTACACACACATACACACACACACACACACACACACAAACACACAGACATACATACACCCACGCGCACACACCCACGCGCGCACACACACACACAAATCCTCCATGACCCCAGACGGTCAAAACCAAAACCATAGCGTTTGTCGAGATTTCTCTTCATGTATCCCTCCACTTTTCCTTCATTTAAGCTCCATGAAGCAAACTTCCCTATGCAAGAATCAAACCCACACCCTCTTTGAGAAACAGCAGCCAAAAAGATTAACCCTTACCACATACAGACGCTAAATTTCAAAGAAGCACAATAAAGTAAACCTCTCCACACTCCAGCAACATATAACAACAACAACAACAACAACAACAACAACAAAAGTCTCTCTCGCAACCACGCAAAATCAAAGACCACTGCATATTACTTCGCAACCAAACAAGATTAACAACAACGAAAACAACAACAACAACAACAACAACAAAACCATTAGAAAAAGCAACCCAAACAATTGAAAACCAGCAACCCAAAACAAATACAAAAACAGCAACCCAAACAAACAGAGAGAAAACCCAAACAAATACAAAACAGCAACCCAAACAAATACAAAAACAGCAACCCAAACAAACAGAGAGAACCCAAACATTTACAAAAACCAGAAACCCAAACAAATACAAAAACAGTAACCCAAACAAAAAAGGAACGCAAACCAGCAACCCAAACAAAGAAAAGAAAAGGGGGAAAACCGAACAATATTATATAAAAAAAAAATATATATAAAAGAAAAAGCGAGGGAAAACACGACTAAATGTTATACCAGAAGAGGAGGAGGAGGCACCAGCTTTTCCTGACGGACTACTGCCGCCCCCTTTTCACGCAAACAGCCGAGAGGAGAAAGGGAAAATACAATATATACAATATTATTTATATATATACAAGGCCATTAGATTTTCATAGCAGTTAGTTGTTTTAAATTTCAGAAGCAATTTATATTTTTTAATAAATATAAAAAGATTCAGAGTATTTACATTTGTCTTTAAAAGCCACAGAGAAGAAATGGAAAATACAATATGCAATATGTATATTATACAAGGCGGTTAGAATTTCACAGCAGTTAGTTGTTTTTTTAAAGTTCCATAAGCAATTTATATATTTTTCATACTGACTAAATATAAAAAGATTCATCAGAGCAGTCACTTTTTTAATGCCAGAGTGAAGAAATAGAAAATACAATATATATTATACAAGGCTCTTTGAATTTCACAGCGCAGTATTTTTCATACTGAATAAATATTAAAAGAATTCAGAGTAGCTACTTTTATTATCTTGACTGAATAAAAAGGATCTCACAAGTAGTTCAGTTTTGTTTTTTTGTTTTTTTTGGAGATTTTTTCAACTTGCCTGAATACCAAAAAATATTCAGAGCAGGTTTTTTTCTATACTGATTAAATAAAAAAAAATTAAGAGCAATTATTTTCTTTTTTTTTTTTTTACTAACTGAATACGATTTGAGAGAATTTTTTTTCCAAAATGACTGAATACAAACAATTTCAGAGTAGTTTTTTTTCACATTTACTGAATACAAAAAGAATTCATAGTGATTGCTTTTCAAAGTGGCTACATGCAAATAATTCCAAGAGAAGATACCCCCCCCCCCCTGACTGCATATTCAGACTTTAAAGAGAAGATCACCCACTTTTTCTTGGCCATCTGTGAACTTCACAATATGAACCTAGACACCATCATAGCTGACACCTAGAGACACACACACGTTCCTTAACATCTATGTAGAAAAACCATATCATTTCCACGTTGCTAATATTGATATTATTGTTAATATTACATATTAAGTTATTATCTTTAAAAACCAATATTTAAATTATTATTACGAGGATTTTTATTATCATTCTTAACCCTATCCGTACGTCGTGTTTTACTATCGTATCCATACGGCGTGGGGAACTCTGTGTCACCACTTAACCCTATCCGTACGTCGTGTTTTACTATCATATCCATACGACGTGGGGAACTCTGTGCCACCACTTAACCCTATCCGTACGTCGTGTTTTACTATCGTATCCATACGACGTGGGGAACTCTGTGCCACCACTTAACCCTATCCGTACGTCGTGTTTTACTATCGTATCCATACGACGTGGGGAACTCTGTGCCACCACTTTCCAAAGAGGAAATTTACTTGTTAATCCGATCCGTACATTTGAATAGCAGTCTGTCAAAATGATTTTTTGAGAAATATTGAAAGTTTCAAAGAGATCTTCGCACTAGAAGTATTCTAAAATGTGAAGAACACAACCCCGGGGGTACAAAATGGCCCCAGGGCGTACGGATAGGGTTCATAAAAGAACAACAACAAAGAGAAGCCTACAGTAGAAGAATGTTACGCCAGTTCTAGAAGGTTTTAGGTCATGCAAGCAGAGATTACAGAAGTACAACATCTCTCCTGGGTGTGTGTGTGTGTGTGTGTGTGTGTGTGTGTGTGTGAGTGAGTGTGAGTGTGTGTGTGTGTGTGTGTGTGTGTGTGTGTGTGTGTGTGTGTGTGTGTGTGTGTGTGTGTGTGTGTGTGTGTGTGTGTGGCTTAGTCAGTTCACAGAACATCCCTGGACTACTCGACCACTGACCACTGACGTAGCCCATTCACACAACATCCCTGACACCCTGCACTACCCTAACAGCTGACCAGCAAGGGGAATTGAACCCTAACCCTCTGTCAGAGCCACAAGAGTGGGACCGGGTGGTTGGCAGGTGCTCTGGTGTGGTTTGCTCCTTCTTTCCTTTCAAACATCTATCGTCCTTATCTCTCCTCCCCCTCCCCCCTCCTATATGTTTTCTTTACGTACAGTTTATCAGCCACACACACAGGAGAGGTGTCCACACAGAACACTACAATGCAAGAGAGAGAGAGAGAGAGAGAGAGAGGGGGGGGGGAAGAGAGAGAGAGAGAGAGAGAGAGGGGGGGAGAGAGAGTGAGAGGGGGAGAGAGAAAGAGACAGTGACAGAGAGAGAGAGAGAGAGAGAGAGAGAGAGAGAGAGAGAGAGAGAGAGAGAGAGAGTCCAGGAGTAGAAGACATTCCCTGATGGACAGTGGTCAAGAGGTCAGACTCTACAGGAAACAACACTCTAAGAGGGGGGAGGGAGGGGGAGGAGGGAGGAGGGGGCATGATGCAGAATGCTGAACAATGTCAGAAGTCTAGAGAGGCCGATGGTTGAAGATTGCCACTGTTAAGTCCTATTTCTTCTCTTTCCCTTCGTTACTTCTTTCTGTTTATCCTGCTTGATGCAGAACGATATTGATAGTCTACATAGGCAGGCGATTGGTTGGAGGGTGCCATTGTTAAGTCTCACCTCCCCCCTCCTCCTCCAAAAAAAAAAATAAATAAAAAAATTAAACAATAAAAAAAAATAGTTTAATTCTCAAGTACATCAAGGATTATTGTGTATCTGAGTTGGAATGATACTATGTTTTAACTATCATTTCTTCAGGACTTTATAACCTAGAACACTAATTTATTTTTTCAACATTATATTTTTGAATTAACAGTACCATCTTTTCTCAATGGTTAAAAAAAGGAAGCAAGTAAGTTCACTATTGAAACATCAGCGACTGATATGCTGGTCAGGTAAATAATAGTAAAAAAAAACTTCAACTCCCCAAAAAAAAGGGGGGGGGGGGGAATTATTAAATTTTAAAAAAGAGACATGGGAAGAGAAAAAACCTATACGCTCCAAAGGTACGACAGATTGAAAAAACAAAGAAAGAGGAAGGGAAAAAAGGAAAAGCCAAAAAGAAGACGCATCATCTACCGTCAACTGCAGTTACTATTTGCCCGATGTAGCGACAGAAGTTTGCGTTTGAGTAAAGAGAATAGGGTCGATTTTTAAAGTTAGTTTTAGTAGAGGTTTTATGGCGCTCACAACTGCATAAGGTCATATGAGCGCCAAGGGGTGGATGTCAACAGAGAAGTCCTTACAGGGAATCAGACTTACTCTGCCCACCTCTCTAGCTTCAACAGCACAAAGTCTGCTTCGACTATCAAGGCACCCCGGAAATAGCGGGTCACGAGAGTGTGACAAACATACGAAAGAAGTAGAGGAAAAATGACGATAGATAGTAAGGATTAGCATGTCGATGTGATGCCATTCATTTAGTGCACGAGGAAAACGTTAGAGAGACAGACTGACAAACAGACAGACTGGATAAACAGAGAAAGGGAAAAAAGAAGTAAGCCTTTCTAGTGGCACCATCCTCCAACCACCATCACCTGTAAATATTCCTAGCACAACGTATAGCGACACGTAGACTAAAGTCAATCCTGCTCTAACGACCACCTGTCTAAGACAACCACCTGTACAAACGACCACGTATAGCGACACGTAAACTAAAGTCAATTCTGCTCTAACGATCACCTGTCTAAGACAACCACCTGTACAAACGACCATTTCCTGCTTCTTTCTTTCTTTGCTAGTTTTAGTAAGGTTTTACGGCGCTCGCAACAGCATAAGGTCATTTGAGCGCCAAGGGGTGGATGTCAACAGAGAAGTCCTTACAGGGAATCAGACTTACTCTGCTCACCTCTCTAGCTTCAACAGCACAAAGTCTGCTTCGACTATCAAGGCACCCCCCCCCCCCCCAATAAATGGTCCCTTTTAAGGACAAGCGAGCTAACCCAGATTTCGGGGGTTTCCAGAAATCTTGACCTTACCAAAAGTATGCATTGCCCTACCTATAGGAAAAGTTTGGTTTCACTGGTGTGTATATTTGTTTGGTTATAGAGAAAACTCTCCTTGTCTTTTAAAGAAACTGAATAAGGGTCCAAAAACTTTACCTTCGATTTTCTCAAAACAGCATTTTTTCGGGATAGCCCACTTGTGCTTAAAATCGACCAAATAGCAGTTCACAAGAGAGTGACAAACATTGTATTTTTTTCTACATTACAATTGCTCAAGACACCCACCTGTTTAAGACCACCACATTTCTCCTCGACAAAGCGTGACCTCAGTGCTTTCTTGTCGTACGTACCTCCATTTTTTTAAACATTGAAAATGTGACATCTTCTTAATTAAGCTCACTCTTTATATAAACTGTTTTCACAGTTTAAAAAAATGGGAGATACGACAAAAAGTTAAGTTTCAGTAAGTGTTTTACGGCACTAGCAACACAGCAAGGTCATACAAGTGCGGAAGATTAGAGGTGTTAGAAGAGAGTAACAAACACAAAATAGAAGGAGGAGGAGACATCAGGACGATAGATGTTTGATAGGAAAGAAGGAGCAAACCACACCAGAGCACCCGCCAACTGTCCACATACGACAAGAAAGCACTGAGAATGCGAAAAGAAGGCCATCTTGGACAAGTTCGCACGCACGTACGTACATGACATACATACAAAAAAACCCATTAAAAAACAAAAAACAGAAAAAACCCAAACAATCGAGAAGTAAAACGAAAAAACTGCCACTGACCATCCTCAGCAATGACCACCCGAACAATATTGCTGACTCGGCTGTACGCCATGACCCCGTACGACCTGAGGCGGATGTCGTAGGTCCCGCTGGGCATGCCGGTCATGCTGGTCTCCCTTGTGTCTCCGCCCTGGATCAGTGGAGCGTGCTCGATGACCGTGCCTCCGTTCAGGGAGTACTCGATGCGGTACCTGCAACAGTGGTGGGACAAGTCACATACCGCATGAGATACTTTTAGGGGTATCTGAGTATCAGAGACAATAGAAAAAGTCACATAAGGCTTGAGATACTTTTAGGGGTATCTTCAAGAACAACACAAGTCACATACCGCATGAGATACTTTTAGGGGTATCTGAGTATCAGAGACAATAGAAAAAGTCACATAAGGCTTGAGATACTTTTAAGGGTATCTTCAAGACAACACAAGTCACATTACGCTTGAGATACTTTTAGGGGTATCTTCAAGAACCACACAAGTCACATACCGCTTGAGATACTTTTAACAGCCTCTGAGACAATAATACAAGTCATATGCTGCATGAGATACCTTTAATGGTACCCATAATAATTATTATTAATAGTACAAGTCACAAACTGCTTGAGAAACTTTTACTTTTAGTGGTACCTGCAATGGTGGAACAAGTCACATACCGCTTGAGATACTTTTAGTGGTATATGTGAAAATAGTACAAGTCACATACCGCTTGAGATACTTTTAGTGGTATATGTGAAAATAGTACGAGTCATATGCCGCATGAGACACTTCTAGCGGTATCTGCAATGGTGGGACAAGTCACATACCGCTTGACATACTTTTGGTGGTATCTACGACAATAACACAAGTTCCATACCGCATGAGATACTTTAAAAGTTTTTGTTACAGTAAGAGTTTTACGGCACTTGCAACACAATAAGGTCACATAAGTGCCGAAGATTAGAGGTGTTACAAGAGAGTAACAAACACAAAACAGAAGGAGGAGAGATTAGGACGATATATGTTTGATAGGAAAGAAGGAGCAAACCACACCAGAGCACCCGCCAACCACCCACACACTTTTGGTGGTATCTTAATAATAATAATAATAATAAATAGCATTTATACTGCGCATTTCCATTTCCTAAAAGATGCTCAATGCGCATTACAATGAAAAAGACATCACATCTTAAAAATTAATCGACACAAATGTGTACGTAAAACAAAGTATTATACATATAATATAAATGCATATGTGTAAAATTTTATACCAGAAAAACAGTCTCGCAGTGAGGTTGAAAATGTGTTCACTAAAAATATTCAATGCAATATAAATTCACGAACAGTCAAAATACAGTTGAAACGTGAGTAACTAAAAACATTCATTAAAACATTAATTCTATACAGATAGAAAAACATTTCCGCTCTCTCTCTCTCTCTCTCTGTCTGTCTGTCTCTCTCTCTCCCTCTATCTCTCTCTTTCTCTCTCCCTCTCTTGCTATCTCTCTCTTTTCTCTCTCTATCTCTCTTTTTTTCTCTCTCTCATTCTCACTCGCTATTTCTTCAGTCTCACAGTTTGGCATACACATGCATATATATATCACAGTACATCATTATGACAGGTATGCTTTTGTGAATAAAAAATGCTTCAGCTGATTTTTGAAAATGGAAATTGTTGGGGCAGATCTTATTTTATATGGGATTTCGTTCCATACCTGGGAACCAAAGAACAAAAAGGAACGCTCGCCGTATGTTTTGTAGTTTTGTTTTGTAGTTTTAAGAATTAGATTGTCAGAGGCTGATCTAAGGGCTCTAGGTGGATTATATAATTCCAGGAATGTTTTAAGATAAAAAGGTGCACTATCATTTATACATTTAAAACAGAGAACGGCAGTTTTGTATTTAATCCTTTCTTTTATTGGCAGCCAGTGTAGTTCTTTCAGAATTGGTGTTACGTGGGCTGATTTCTTTTGTTTCATTATCAATTTTGCTGCTTGATTTTGAATCTTCAATAATAGTACAAGTCACATACCGCAAGAGACACTTTTAGCGGTATTTGCGACAATAGCCCAAGACATACGTAGCATGAGATAATCTATCAGCACCTTTGCCTTCATGAAATGACAGAGCAAGTCACTTGCCCTATGAGATACTAAAGCAGTATATGCAGCAATAGCACAAGTCACATACCACTTAAGATACTTTTAACAGTACCTGCATTAATTAATTACTATTGTAATTGTGAAAGTTTTGAGTCCTCTTAGACACAATTTAGTTCACTTAGTAGGTGGCCTACTCTGTCCCTGTCTGTCAGGGCCAGTCACCCCCCCCCCCCCAACACAGAGAGAGAGAGAGAGAGAGAGAGAGAGAGAGAGAGAGAGAGAGAGAGAGAGAGAGAGAGAGAGAGAGAGAGAGAGAGAGAGAGAGAGAGGGAGAGAGAGATTGATTGATTATTACCCAAACGTGACAGTGGTTTTGAGTATTTTCAAATCTTTAAGTTTCAGTTCTAGTAAGAGTTTTACAGCGCTTGCAACACAATAGGTCACGTAAGCGCCGGAGATTAAAGGTGTTACAAGAGAGTAACAAACACAAAACAGAAGGAGGAGAGATAAGGACAACAGATGTTTAGAAGGAAATAAGAAGGAACAAATCACACCAGAGCACCCGCCAACCACCCACTCACAGGAGATTTGAGGTGTTACAAGAGAGTAACATACCCCCAAAAAATATATTTTAAAAAAAAAAGAAAAAGGAAAAAAAGAAGTGAGATAAAAACAATAGACATTTAGCAGGAAAAAAAGGAGGAACAAAGCACACCCGAGCACCCGCCAACCACCCACAGATAATGACACAATGAGGAGGAAGAGGAGGAGAACTCACGAGAAGATGGGCACGGGCGAGCTGAGAGGGACGATCCAGGCGAGGAGAATGTCTCCGTCCTTGACCCTGGCAGACAGGTTGAGCGGGGCAGACGGCTGGGGACCTGCGGGAAGACACGAGAAAAAAACAAAACCCTAGGGCTACAGAAAAACAAAACCCTGGGGATATACAGAAAAACAAAACCCTGGGGATATACAGAAAAACAAAACCCTGGGGATACAGAAAACTCTGAGGGGGGCTTTGTTTGTTTGGGTGGAAGGAAAACAAAACTTTGAAACCCCCAAAAACAAACAAACAACAAGGGCCATTTGGTGCAAGGAAAAAAAAGGCGCCCCGGAAATGGCAGTCCACAAGAGAGTGACAAACATACAGAAGTAGAGGAAAATGGACGATAGTATGGATGAGGGAAGAAAACGCTGGGACTATAACTCTGCCGGGACTTCTTTTGTGTGGGTTTTTTTAGTTTTCATAAGAGTTTTACGGCACTTGAAACACAATAAGGTCATAGAAGTGCCGAAGATTAGAGATGTTACAAGAGAGTAACAAACACAAAAAAGAAGGAGGGGAGATAAAGACGACAGATGTTGGATAGGAAAGAAGGAGCAAACCACACCAGAGCATCCGCCAACCACCCACTTTGTGTGGGTGGAAAGAAGAACAACTTGGAAAAAAGAAAACCAACAACGGCCATTTGGTGCCGGAAAAAAAAGGCAAGAGTGAGAGACAAACTACAGAGGGAGAGTTGGGATGAAGGGATGAAGGGATCTACCGGCAGTGTCCTCCAACCACTTTTAATTGTAGTTTCAGTAAGAGTTTTACGGCACTTGCAACATATACAGGGCATACAAGTACCAAAGATCAGGGGTGTTACAAGATAGAAAGTAACATACAACAAAAAAAAAAAAGAAAAGAAAAAGAGGA